ATCTAATTTTTAATTTTTTCTAAGCTTTGCTTCCTTTTAACCAAAGGCTTTCTCAATTACGACTTAGATTAGGTCCATTATGGAAATAGGTATGTCCGTAAATTTTCAAATAAATAAAAAGAATAAAATATACCTGGGCGGTGAATGTATAATTAATTTTCGCCTTCTGGGTGTTGAACACTATTTGTGCAACCTTTGCAACTTTTTTTACAACCACGTCTGAAGCATTGGATCCGGCCGGGGAATCCTCTTTCGTCTGCTTCGGAGATACTTTTGCGCTTACTCCGGTGCTCTTGTTTTTGTCTCTTTCATCGACGCTGGCTGGGCTACGGGAGCCTTTTCGTGTACCAGGTGTTACTGTTGGCTTTTTAGTTTCATTTGTCGAGGATTCTTCACCATGACTGACACCCTTTACACGCCTATTGTTTTTTTGGTTAGATTTTGATTCAGGTTTAGCGAACTCAAAAGAGTTGCCAGCGGATATTTTGGCACTTATGCTGGCATCAGAACTTTCAACAGATGCATTATTATTTTCGTTTGACGTTTTTAACAAACTCCTTTGGGTAGTTTTTGTTACCGAACTGCTTGTACCAGTAGTCGTGGTCGGTGTTATTTTTTGTTGCCCAGCTTTTGTCGTTGCTGTTGTTTTGGAGACATTTTGAGCATTCGGTATTGCTGTATCTAAACTAAGACGTCGCACTGACGCATTGCTCGAATAAGAACTATTAGAGCGTCGTCTAATAATCATTGCATCCTCACTAGCTTTTTGTTTATACACATAATCCCAAGTTGATGATGGTTTTTGTTTAGAAGTACGCTTGTTTCTTGTACCTCCACTATTGGTTGGAGTGGGTGTTGTTTTCCCAGATGTTGGTGTTGTTTTCCCAGATGTTGGTGTAGATTCTCTCTTCAATATCTTAACAAAAAAATCATTACATGTAATTACATAAATGTTACAGACAAGTCATACCTTTTCTGAAATTGTAGCTGCGCGGCTGCGCATTAAATGTTTTTGTGGCTTATCGACACCTTGTTCTGCAATTAATTTACTTCTCTCGCTCTCCAAGGAATGTAGCATATTAGCAGCACCTTCATCGCTTACTAAACGGTCGATTTCACTTAACTTTTTTTTCTTTGAACCAGCACCACTACCAGTTCCATTTATGATAGGTGTCTGAGATCGCCGTTTCACGGGTGACTGAGTTTTCATCGTATTTTCTTGACTGACATTTTTATTTCGATTTGAAGAGTTACCTGCAGGCGATGAGGACCTAGTTTCCTTTTTCTTTGTTGCAGGGGAGCCAGAACATACTTTTAGCTCTGATCCCCGATGTTGCTTATTTTCAGGATCATTTTGGCGTTGTAAAGATGATTTCTTTTCTTTCAACTCGTTGTGTTGATTTTTAGATGCAGATGTTTTATGCGATACTATCTTTGAAGACGGGCTTTCAGCATCCAAATTTAGTTTGGAACTGTTGCGTGCGAATTGCGCATATGAAATTTGAGTTTCTGGTGCGTCAGGGTCCCATATTATTTTTGGTTTTATAATACGTGTGCGCTTGAAACCTACTACAGGTTTTATAGTAGGCTCGTCATTTATAAGCGGTTCTACCATCGGAAGTGTGTCTTCATGTAAGTTATCGGACTCCACTTTCTCTAGTTTTACTATATTCAGGTCCGTGTTTTTGTTTGTTGATTCTTTTCCTTCGCGTTCTTGATTGCTTATATCTTTTTCAAGTTCACTTTTTCTATTTTTG